GAGGGCCCCAGGACAGCCCAAGAGGGCCCCAAGACGGCCCAAGAGGCGCCCAAGATGGCCCAAGAGGGCCCCAAGACGGGCCCAAGAGGGGGCCCAGAGGGGGACCACGAACCGCAAGCTCGAGCCTTCCGCCCCAAGAGGCCGCCAGGAGGCCCCCAGGAGGCCCCTCAAGAGGCCCCAGGAGACCCCAGACGTCCAAGGACGCCCCCAAGAGGCCCCAAGAAGCCTCCAACATGCGTCCCAAGAGGGCCCCTAGACGCAAAAATTGGCCCATTCCCTTCGTAAAACGTACATTTTCAACAAAGTCGCCTTTTGGGCTTTCCGACGTTACAGGACGGCCCAAGAGGCGCCCAAGACCGCCCCAAGACGGCCCAAGAAGCTTCCAAGAGGGCCCCAGGACAGCCCAAGAGGGCCCCAAGACGGCCCAAGAGGCGCCCAAGATGGCCCAAGAGGGCCCCAAGACGGGCCCAAGAGGGGGCCCAGAGGGGGACCACGAACCGCAAGCTCGAGCCTTCCGCCCCAAGAGGCCGCCAGGAGGCCCCCAGGAGGCCCCTCAAGAGGCCCCAGGAGACCCCAGACGTCCAAGGACGCCCCCAAGAGGCCCCAAGAAGCCTCCAACATGCGTCCCAAGAGGGCCCCTAGACGCAAAAATTGGCCCATTCCCTTCGTAAAACGTACATTTTCAACAAAGTTGTCTTTTGGGCTTTCCGACGTTACAGGACGGCCCAAGAGGCGCCCAAGACCGCCCCAAGACGGCCCAAGAAGCTTCCAAGAGGGCCCCAGGACAGCCCAAGAGGGCCCCAAGACGGCCCAAGAGGCGCCCAAGATGGCCCAAGAGGGCCCCAAGACGGGCCCAAGAGGGGGCCCAGAGGGGGACCACGAACCGCAAGCTCGAGCCTTCCGCCCCAAGAGGCCGCCAGGAGGCCCCCAGGAGGCCCCTCAAGAGGCCCCAGGAGACCCCAGACGTCCAAGGACGCCCCCAAGAGGCCCCAAGAAGCCTCCAACATGCGTCCCAAGAGGGCCCCTAGACGCAAAAATTGGCCCATTCCCTTCGTAAAACGTACATTTTCAACAAAGTTGTCTTTTGGGCTTTCCGACGTTACAGGACGGCCCAAGAGGCGCCCAAGACCGCCCCAAGACGGCCCAAGAAGCTTCCAAGAGGGCCCCAGGACAGCCCAAGAGGGCCCCAAGACGGCCCAAGAGGCGCCCAAGATGGCCCAAGAGGGCCCCAAGACGGGCCCAAGAGGGGGCCCAGAGGGGGACCACGAACCGCAAGCTCGAGCCTTCCGCCCCAAGAGGCCGCCAGGAGGCCCCCAGGAGGCCCCTCAAGAGGCCCCAGGAGACCCCAGACGTCCAAGGACGCCCCCAAGAGGCCCCAAGAAGCCTCCAACATGCGTCCCAAGAGGGCCCCTAGACGCAAAAATTGGCCCATTCCCTTCGTATTATCCCGGCAAAGCAACCTAACAGCGATGTGTAGGAGCATATCTGGAAGCATTCCCCTTAAGATTCAAATGAGAATCCAGTTGTAGAATTGTGCTGTTCTCGAAGTCGTAGTCGCATTCGCGATGACAGTCGCAGTGGCAACGGCAGTCACAGACACAGCCTCAGCAGCAGCCTGCCTCAGCCTCAGCCTCAGCCTGCCTCAGCCTCAGCCTGCCTCAGCCTCAGCCTCAGCCTGCTTCAGCCTCAGCCTCAGTCTGCCTTCAGCCTCGGCGTCAGCCTCAGACTGCCTCAGCCTCAGCCTGCATCGGCCTCGGCCTCAGCCTCAGCCTGCCTCAGCATCAGCCTGCCTCAGCCTCAGCCTCAGCCTGCCTCAGCATTCAAAATGTGGCCTGGGAATGGAATTCTGGGAACTCGAAGAACACGAAGTGGCCTACAGTTGGCTCCGGGCATTCAAATTCATGCCCAGGAATGGAGTTCTGGGAACTCGAAGACCACGAAGTGGCCTACAGTTGGCTCCGGGCATTCAAAATGTGGCCCGGGAATGGAGTTCTGGGAACTCGAAGAGCACGAAGTGGCCTACAGTTGGCTCCGGGCATCCAAAATGTGGCCCGGGAATGGAGTTCTGGGAACTCGAAGACCACGAAGTGGCCTACAGTTGGCTCCGGGCATCCAAAATGTGGCCCGGGAATGGAGTTCTGGGAACTCGAAGACCACGAAGTGGCCTACAGTTGGCTCCGGGCATTCAAAATGTGGCCCGGGAATGGAGTTCTGGGAACTCGAAGACCACGAAGTGGTGACTGTTGGCTCCGGGCATTCAGAATGTGGCCTGGGAATGGAGTTCTGGGAAGTCGAAGAGCACGAAGTGTGTGACTGTTGGTGAAAAACGAGCCCGGCACAGGCCCGGCCGGCAACTCCCAACGCCTGCCCGGACCCCCCCTGTGAGTGATCTGTGAGCTCTTTTGAGTCAACTAGAAACCTATCAGTCTTCGCTGTTAGGTAAAAACGTACATTTTCAACAAAGTTGTCTTTTGGGCTTTCCGACGTTACAGGACGGCCCAAGAGGCGCCCAAGACCGCCCCAAGACGGCCCAAGAAGCTTCCAAGAGGGCCCCAGGACAGCCCAAGAGGGCCCCAAGACGGCCCAAGAGGCGCCCAAGATGGCCCAAGAGGGCCCCAAGACGGGCCCAAGAGGGGGCCCAGAGGGGGACCACGAACCGCAAGCTCGAGCCTTCCGCCCCAAGAGGCCGCCAGGAGGCCCCCAGGAGGCCCCTCAAGAGGCCCCAGGAGACCCCAGACGTCCAAGGACGCCCCCACGACGCTTCGCGTCACCAATTTCTTCTCACAACGATTCCTGGGTCTGTGACTCGACAGAACCTAAGCGCGCGCGAAGCGCGCGCGTGGTTCTAGTGGGAATATATTACACATCAATGATTTGTGTTTCTTCAGGCCCTGTTGGAGGTCCTCGTGGGGCCGTGGGGTCCCTTTGGGCCCTCTGAGAGGCATCTTGGTTGCATTGGTTGCCTGCCTGGGCCGTTCAGGAAGCTCGTGACGCGGACGAGGGATCGTGGCCTTGGGAGCGCGGATCCATTTTGTTTTACGAGGGATCGTGGCCTCGGGAGCATGGGGTATGCATGCTTCTGTCTAGTAGTAGAGGGAGGGCATTATCAAAACGAACGCACAAGCCTACAGTGCAGCACCTTGCATTCTAACGCGCCCACTTCATGCAGACACGGTGGCGGATCCAGTGGCCTTTGGCCGATTCCGCCACTGTGCATAGGACGTGGACCAGAGTTCATCATGAGGCCTGCCGGAGTCTCTGAGGGGGAGCCTCTTGGAGGTCTCCTGGAGGCCTCTTGGAGGCCTCTTGGAGGCTCCGTGGCGGCCTCTTGGGGCCTGTCGGGTTGTCTTGGAGTACCTCTCCTGCCATCGTGGGCACCTCGGAGCCCGCCTTCCCGCCTCGGGCCCCTTGGTGGCCATCTTGGGGGCCCTCTGAGGTAGTCTTGAGCCATTTCACTGGCGTTCTTGGGGCGCCCCACGAGCGGATGAGGCTGGCCCAGCGGCGACGAGGTGGAGGGGGCGGGAAGGTCCAGCGGCTTGGCCTGGGGATGGGATTCATCCATAACCACCGTTTTTGGGATCGATCTTCGGGGACCTAGGCAGGCGGTGGAAATGTATATATACACATATGTTTATACATGAACATATGTTTATACATATATATATATATATAGTTATATATACATACATATGTGTATGTATATATATATATATATATATATATATTCAGACCCCCTGGGGCCAAACTATTTCCTTATACACCGCCCTCTGAAGTTCCACAGCGTTGATTCCCCCAGGCGGTGGACATGCACACATCCTGGCTTGCTCTTGGCGTCTTCGATGATGATGCCCCCGATGATCTCGTCGTCGAGGTCCCTGGTGGCCTCCTCCCGAGGCTTGGAGACAGTGTGCTGCTTCTGGTGAAGAAGTTGCGGATTAGTAGGGGAGGAGCGTGGAGGCCAAGCAGGCAGGAGGGAGCCGGGAGGATCCCACCGCCGCCAGGGCTGTGGGGCGTCGTCGTTTTCGCCGTCTCGTCTGTCGTGCTGCATTTTTTCTGGGACCTGCCCCCAACGCGCAGGCCTCGCCCTTCTTGAGCCGTGGGTTTCCCTCCCTCGTCCGCTTGGCCTCCGCTCCCCTCGTCGATTAGGATGTTACTCCTGGGAGGTCAGGTTCAGAATCGGCGCTGGCAGGTCCGCGTTCGAACATCGGCCCATTCTGGTTTCGCTGGCTGGATCCCGCTCTCACACCTTTCAGCCTGGCTTCATGCTGTGCTGACTCTGGGGTGATCCGGCTCAGTGGCCCCTGAATCGGACAAGGTAGGTCGTAGGCGTGCTTACGACGAAGGCCTTCCGGCCCAGAAGTTGTCTCCCCTCGTCTCCCTCGGGACGCAGTGCTGCGTAACCTAAGCAAGGATTGTACTCGGCGTATCACCCCTACTCGAGCGGTGTATCTCGACAGTTTACTTCGTGGCATGTGGCTGAAGGTTTAGGTGCCTGCTGTCATGTGAAAGTCGCATCTTCATGTGCAATTCGTCATGTTGTGTAGACAGTCGCTCACTCTGTCATCTGAACGGCGCAACCAAAAAAAGAGTCGTCCTGGCGGACATTGGCGCGGAAGCTGGCCGCCTAAGGCCGCGCGGCGCGTAAGGGCCCTCGTTTCCGGTGTCGCGTGCCGCGCTGGTGGCCGCGCAAGCCACCAGGCAAGGTCGTTATGTCATCTCGCGCATGACCCGTTGCTTTTCGTCGCTCATTTGGTCGCACTCCTCATACCCACCCGCGACTCACCCGCCGCGACCCACCCGCCGCGACCCACCCGCCGCGACCCACCCCGCGACTGACCCCGCCCTTGCCCCCTCACTCTTATGCGCGATTGCCGGGAAGTCCCTTCTCAATGTCACCCTCGGTCCCCTCGCCTCTTCGGGAGGGGTCCACGGGCTCGACGCCCCCGCGGGCGGCGGCAGGGGATGACCCCCGCCGCGCTGCGGCGAGCGCAGAGGAGATCATGGCGGAGCTGCGGGCGCAGGCGCTGTGGCAGGCGGAGCAGGAGGCGGATGCCCTGCAGGCAGCCCTGAACGAGGAGGACTCGGGGGGATTTGATCTACGCCTCCCAGATGGGGTCAGGGCAGGCGGGGTCGGAGGACCACAGCGACGTCGCCGATGCATCGGTGATGCAGTGATGCATCGACGATGCGGCGCGGTCATCCGACCCCGTGTGCATCGACCTCATCTGGGAGGCCTCGCGCGCGCCCCGAACGGGCACGAGGTCCAGTCAGTCAAAGCCGTGTGTCAGAAGGCACATGAGCAATATGGCACACTTACCGTGCCAAGCAAAATGACCGCACTGCGCGCTTCCAGTCTCGAACTGGGATTGCGCATAAATGTTCGATTGGAACTTGAAGACTGCCACAAACATCTCTTGCAAGTTTGTACACCTCGGCAGGCCACGTCTGTCGCGGTCGGCCTCTCTTCCGCTTGCCGGAGGGGGGGCGGAGGTCGAGGGAGGAAGGTCTAAAAATAGCTGAACGCAAGGGGTGGTCATCACCCTTACAAGCAATATGGAAAAAGTATGTGAGTTGCCGCTGCAAGAGAGTACTGCTAAGCTTCATCCTGCGCGCTCGTGCCAGCACGTCCGCATTAGACACTCGGCTGACGTACGAATGCGGGATCCCGAGGATTCTCCGCAGGCACCTTGCTTGGAAGGCGTCGATGCGGGTCAGCTCGTCCTGCTTCAACCATGCCGTGTGCAAGCTGTACAGTAATTTCGTCTGCACGCACGCCTCGTATATCTGTATCTTTCTATGCATCGGGATGCTGCTGCGGTTACAGACACGGTGTAAAAGTTCGAACTCTGCCCGCGCTTGCCCAAGGCGGCGGCCCAGCTCAGCCTGCATCGTCCCGTCTGCGGAAAGCACGGACCCGAGGTACACGACGCTTGCCTTCTGGGGAATGACAGCCCCGTCCGGCCTGCGAATAACAGCGTTGCATCCCACGGCCAAGATTTCGAGCTTCCCCCAATTGAAGGTGAGGCCGTAGTTCGCGCCCGCCTTCTCCACTGCCTCCATGTACTGCTCAGCGGGTCCGGATGCGCTCGCGACGATGAGCGTGTCGTCCGCGTACACCAACTCGTCCACCAGTCCTGCCAGGTCACCGAGGCTGTTCTTTGCGTCGTGCAGGAGCACCGTCATGACCATCCCGAAGAGGAAAGGCGATAACGGGCATCCCTGGCAAATGCCCGCTCCTTGTTCTCGCGACGCCGAAATTTGCCCGCACTCTTTCACCGCGAAGCTCCTGGCAGAATAGATGGCGCTCACGGCGGCCAGCACCTCCCGCGGCAGGCCAAACCGGCGCAGCGCTTCGAGGAGAGCATCTGGCATCACGCTGTCGAACGCCTTGGCCCAGTCCAGCGCGAGCAGCACCAGCGGGGACCCCTGCAACGCGCAGGATTCCTCCAAGAGGCGCCGCGCTAAGAATATGGCATCTGCCGTCCCGTGCCCAGACTTGAAGCCGAACTGAGTCTGCCAGATCCTGGCCTCCGCGCCGGCGTCCTTCAACCGGCGCATGATGATCATGGCGTACATCTTATATCCGGCTTGCAACAGACAGATAGGCCGGTAGTTTGAACATTGAGACACGTCCCCTTTTTTGAAGATTGCAGTTACGAGGGCTTCGTGCCAGGCGTCCGGGACGCAGCCGTCTCTCCAGCACTTCTGACACAGGGCTAGCGCCCATTCCCTCCCCGGCCCCGCGTGCATGCAGATAGCCTTCCACAGTTCTCCGGGGACGCCGTCATGGCCACAAGCCTTGCCCCATCGCATGCGTCGCGCTGCATCGATGATCTCCTCCTCTGTGATGTCACCGGTCTGGACTTCCAGCTCCGGGCCAATCGGGGCAGGTGCCATCGGCGTCGTAGCACGTGGGGCCCATTGAACATCGCACAGGTAGTCGGCCAACGCGTCGGCTCTCCTATCTGATTGCACCACTTCGCCGTCCATCCCGCGTAGGCGCCCATGCCGCGCAGGAGCGAAGCCTCTTCTGAGTTTGCGGACCTGGTCCCAGTCGCCCGTCTCAAGCAAGTTGTTGAGCCAGATCGACCTGTCGTTCTTCACCGACCGCTTCACCTCCACCTGCAGACGATGCTCCTCGTCTGTCCGCCCAGAGCGGCGGGCGTGGGTTCTCTGCTCGATCAGCGAGAGGGAGTGGGGCGAGATCCAAGGCCTCTTCGGCGAGGCCGTGTTCTCCGGAATAGTTGCGGCAGCCGCAGAGCGGAAAGCTGGCCGCATAGTTGCCTCTATCTCGTTCGCCGTCAGGCCCGCGGTCGCCCTCCCCGCCGCCTCTCCGAAAGCCTCTGCGAAAGCAGCCGCCCGTATCGGGCTCCGGAGGGCTCGAAAATCTGGCTGCGGAGTGCGAGTTTTCTTGTCGAGCGGCACTTCTATGTCGAGGTCGGCACAAACCAAGAAATGGTGCGAGGCCAGCGCCCGGCCACGGTCACTGTGCACGTCCGTGAGGTGCTGGGTCCAACCCTGTGATATTAGGGCGAAGTCGATCTGTCCAAAATTGTCTGGGGAAGGGTGGTCGCACGGCCGCTTGCCCACGTTGTAGCACGTGATCTGCTTCTCCGGCGGCTTGTGGAAAATAGTGTTCCCAATAAACAGCTTCTGGTTGACGCATAGCTCGGCGAGGAGGCTCCGATTGGACGAGGGGTTGTAGATCGCGTCCGGGACTCCGAATATGTAGGGCCCGATAATGTGCTCTTCGCCTGGATACCGGCGATGATACCGGCGATGAAGCCGAGCGATGGGCACGAGGTCCAGGCAGAGAGAAAGGCGGCAGCCACCGACACGACGGCGAAGACGGCTTCGGGTTGCGCACAGACAGCCCGCCCAGATATTCCCGTCTGGCGTCAACAGGCCCCCGAGCAGTCCCAGCTGGCCTCAACAAGCCCCCCGAGTAATTAATCCAGGGCGGTCTCGACACCCTGGCGCCGCCTCAGGGGCGCACCCCATGGGTAGAGGTGCTCAGACCCCCCCCGGGACAACTCGGGGGTCGTGTTGAGGCCAGCTGGGACTACTCGGGGGGGATTGTTGAGGCCAGCCTGGGCGACTTGGGGCCCGAGTGTACGAGCACCGAGCGCCTCAGAAGGCCACGGAGTGGCGCACGCCGAGGGCGAGCACCGTGCGCGGGGAGGGGGGCGGGGTTGGGCGGCCCTGCTGGCGAAGCGGCGAGGCCCGCTACCCTCCAGGGCCCATGTCGATCCGACCGACCCAGTTCGGTGCCGATTTCGGTCTGTTCGATCCGATTCGGTGTCGATTCCCCGGCGACCCGATGCGTCCCGATGCTTGCATCACGCTGTGGTGCATCTTGGCGCCGCCGACCCGATTCGTTTTCGACTCTGTGCCGATCAGCCCGATCCGACGCACGTTCCGATCCGATTCGATGCTGACTGATCCTGCTCTCCCCCTTGCGACGCTCTCCCCCGCCGGCCCCAGCGGCTCCAGGAGGTCCAGGTGGACCTCTAACGGCTCTGTGGGTCGCCCGCATTGAGGTGGACGGCGGCGGTACGATTCCAGACCGCGACGACGAGCACTCCCATGCCCACCATGGGCTCACGGCGGAAGCGCACGCGCGAGTTGGGGGCGAGGGTGACCGTGCCCATACATTGTCCTCGCCCTTTCCAGGACCCAGCTGGCGCGGAGGCAGATCGTTTGCTCAGGCGTGGCTCGCCGTCGACCGCTGCCGCCCGTCTCACCCCGGTCGCCGCGGCCGCCCCCCTTCCACGCCGCCGCCGGGAGCATCAGGAGCTCCAGGGAGGGTCGACGTGCCGCCCGCGGCGCCGGCGCCGGCGCCGAGGCGCCACCAGGCCGCCAACGGGCTCCGCCAGCACGGGAGCCACCTCCGGAGCTGCCCAGCACAGGGACCGCTGCTCGAAGCAGCCCTTCGGGCCGCGCGACGCAGGCGCCCCCCCCCCCGGGGAGTGGCCCGCGGCCAGGCCGCAGGCGGCGTGCGCTACGAGGCCCGCGCACGGCCAGGAGGGCCCCGCGCGATGCCTCCACGGTGCGGCCACGCCCTGCAGTCGCCCCTGGCATAGGACCCGCGGCGAGCGTGGCCGAGGCAGTGCGCGGCCCAGCGAAGAAGGGCCTGGTCCAGGGAGGCCTGAGCCACGGTGGCTACGGAGGGGGAGGCGAGGAGGAGGACGAGGAGGAGTACAAGAACAAGGACGAGGAGGAACAGGAGGACGAGGACGGCGAGGACTGAGCAGAAGCAGGAGGAGCAGGATGCGGGGGAGGAGGACAGGGCAGGAGGGGGGAGGAAGAAGCGGCGGGAGGGAGGAGGAACGATGAGGACGACGAGGACGACAAGAAGTGATGAGGCGGAGGCGAGAGAGGAGCAGCAGGAGGAGGAGGAGGAGGAGGAGGAGGAGAAGGAGGAGGTGAAGGAGGAGGAGGAGGAGGAAGCGGCAGCGTTCGGAGAACACCAATGTCGACAAGAATCAGGAATCAGGAGGAGGAGGCGGAGGAGGAGGAGGAGGAGGAGGAGGAGGAGGAGAAAGACAAGGAGGATTTAGCACAAACCAGAGCCCCCCGAGGCACCACGAGAGGCCCGTACGGCCCCACGGCCTTTGCCACCTTGCTGGCTCTTCCCCCCCGGACGAAGATGCCATCGACGACGGAGACAAATACGACGCTGGCGACGCTGCCGACGGCGACGACGACGACAAAATGCGAAGGTGTTCAGCAGTGTCTAGTGGTCCCCGCCAGTGGCCCCAGGACACTTCCAGAGGCCAAATATACAAAACAGAGTGGCGATGTGCTGAGAAGCTCAGTTGTAATGGTTCTGGATAGTCATGCTATCGCCTAGTGAGGGCTGCCGTGCCCGCAGGCTCGGTGGCCTCGCGTGCCCGCCCATCTGGCACCCCGTCATGGCTCCCAGTCGCGGCCCCCTTCGTGGCCTCCCATCGTGGCCCAACATCGCGGCCCCATATCGTGTGTGGCCCCACACTGTGACCCCTCATCGAGTTGCCCCCCCATCTTGCCCCTCCCCTCATCGTGAACTGCGTACAGCTGTTTAGGGTGTTTTTCGTTATGTTCACCCAGGACACCCCAAGCTTGCTTGGGAACCAGTCTCTGTCACCCTGGATATGTTCCAGTGGCCCCACGACCCGAAGCAAGCATCCACTCGACAAGATCAACGAACAACGCCCACATCTGACAAGTCCACGGCGTTGGAGGTTTAGGTCTCCTCCCTCGCTGCCCGTTCTCCGGCGAACACGCCGCCCGCCGATGCACGACGTCGACGCCGACGCCGCCGCCGCCGACGACGACGACGACGCCGCCGATGCCGCCGATGCCGTCGCTGACGTCGCTGACGACCGCGACGGCGGCGACGACCACAGCGACGAGGGTGACGACCACGACGGTGCCAGCGACGACGGCACCGATGCCGCCCAGGGCGACGGCGGCCCGCCCCCCTCACCTGGAGGACTGCGCGCTCTTCGAGCAGCACGTGCTGGGGGGCGTACCGTGCCCCCTCTGCGGCCTGGGCCGCCTCTGGTCGCAGGCCTGCGCGCAGACCGCGCCCCGCCAGTCGTCGCGGCGGCCCTCGGCCGCCTCGTCGGCGGCCGCCGCGGGGCCTCCTCCTCCTCCTCCTCCTCCCATCCTCCTCCTCCTCCTCCTCCTCCTCCGGCCCCGGCGGCCCCTCGGGGGCCACATCGGCGGCCCCTCGGCCTCGGAGGCCCGCGGGCCCTCTGCAGCCGAAGGCGGCCGTCGTTGGCCTTCGGCAGTTGGCCGCCGTCGTCGGCAGCCGCCGTCGTCGGCGGCGTCGGCGTCTGGGTCGCTGCCGACAGGGACGGGGGACGAAGAGGGGGAGGGCATGGGGAGGAGGAGCAGGACATTCGCTTGACTCGCCAATTTTGACTTTGAAGTGGAGGGCGAATGTACCCCGCTCGCTTTGTGGAGTCAAGCGTTGCATCATTCAGCGTGCAAGCCGTTCCCGAAACATGTTCTGGCGAAGGATCCAACCTTCTGCAGCTTTGAATGCCGCGTTATGCGTACCGCTTTCGGTGCAGCTCCCTAGGAGGCCACGAGACGTGTAAAGGGTGTGCCGAAATGGGCGCGGGGACGCATGCGGGTTTTGCCTCCTTGGGCCTGCGGAGGAGCTCTCAGTGGGGTAACCGTTCGTGTGAGGGGTGTGTAGACGTGGGTGGGTGAACCCCATGCTTCACACAACGATCTTGGGGCCTTCGGTGGAGCTCCCTGTGGTGCCACGAAATATGTGAGGGGTGTGCCGAAATGGGTGGGACACAGCATGCAACACCCCGCTGTGGAAAGCTCTCTGTGCAGCCATGAAGCGTGTGAGGGGTGCGCCGCATGCAAAACCATGCTGTGAGGGCCTTCGGTGGAGCCCCCATTAGGGCCACGAAAATGTGAGTGGTGTGCCAACCTGTGAAGGGAACCGCACGCAGCACAACGCTTTTGGGACCTTCAGTGGAGCGCCGTGCGGGGCCACGAAGCGTATGAAAGGTGTTCCGAAATGGACGGGGAATCACATGCGAGCCTTCGGTGGAGCTCGCTGTGAGGCCTCATTCAAGGTGCAAGCTGCTCCTGAAACACGTCCTCGCGAAGGACCCAGCCATCATGCGGTTGTGACTGCCGCGTCATGTGTACCGCTTTCAGTGCAGCTCCCTGGGAGGCCACGAAGCGTGGAAGGGGTGTGCCGAAATGGGCGCGGGGACGGATGCGGGCCTTGCCACTTTGGCCTTCGGAGGAGCTCCATGTGGGGTCACCGTTCGTGTGAGGGGTGTGAAGACATGGGTCGGGGAGGCGCATGCAACACCACGGTTTGGGGCCTCGTCCTAATTGGACCGAACAAATTCTGGACCTGACAAGAGCAGATCAGTCATGGAAAGATGTTCCATGGCGCTCCATGTTTGGCCACGAAACGTGTGAGGGGTGTACCGAAACGGTTTGGGGAGCCGCATGCAAAACCATGCCGTGGGGGCCTGCGGTGGAGCTTCCAGGAGGGCTACGCAGATGAGTGGGGTGTGCCGGAATGGGTGGGGAAACGAATGTTACATCAGCTCTTAGTTGCATTTGGTGGCGGAGGGCTGGAGCAGAAGTGGGAGGAGGGAATCGGAGAGGAGAGGAGAGGAGAGTAGACGAGAATATGGGTGATAAGTATTCAACATGAGGACACAACACCACAGGATGGTTGAGAATAGTATCGTGTTTGGTTGGTAGCGCTCGAGAGGAGGCTAGAGGTTCATTATCACGCCGACCGCCTCGACGGAGCATGTTATTTCTCATTCCTCCATCACCACATCAGGGATCATGGTGGACATGAGGCACTATGAGGGTGGACAGAGAGAAGGCGGTGCGTGGCTGGAGGGTCAGGCGATGTATGATGGCTATGATGGCGAGGCGGTTTTCGCGTTGGCCGTCAGCGTGCTCCGCACGTCCACCCAAGGCGGGCACGCTCCTCTGCACGGGCTGCGAGGACATGCGCGTCCCCCTGGTCGACGAGGCGCGGGGCAGAGGGAGGCGAGAGAGCACGCCTGGTCGGGAGTCCCTGCGCCAAGACTGGCACTGCACGGCCGCCGCTCCGCCATGGCCCGGCCCGGCATCGCCGCCGCTTTCCTCCTTCGGGCGTTTTGTACTGGGGGGGGGGGCATAAACGAAGGGTGAAGAAAGGAGCACATTCTGTGCACTTTCGGGGCCCCTTTAGGTCCCCTTCCCTGCAGCCCTCGGTTCCCTCTGGGGCCCTCCCCTGCCGTCCCCGCCCCCTCCGCCGCGCCGCCTCGGCTCCGACCCGTTGTGTGTGTGTGTGACGTTTCGCTGTCCCTTGTGAAGGACAGGGTGCGAGCCCCGGGAAGGGCACTTCAATAGAATAACGCATTGTGCCCCAGAGAGGGGGGATCAAGCATATCTGTGATTTAGAAGTTGTTTTCAACAACAAAAACACCACCAACAACAACACCAATCATTATAATACTGTTCGCTCTTCCCTGCTCGCGTGCCACTCAACACGTATATCCCAAACCATCGATACCCGCCCGCCTCGTCTTCGATCGTACCCCACTCGGGGTATATCTTTCTTACCTGCAGCGTGTGTTTTTTCGTGCAGCCCCCAGGCAGGGAAAGAGAGGACGGATGGAAGGAAGGGATAAAGGGGGAGGGAGGAAGATGGAGCTTTGGAGAAAGTAGCAGCACGGTGGCTAGGAGCAGAAAGCACGTGGGAGGACCGGACGGGCATCGGGCGGTTAGACCCTAACGGGCGGGTCGAGAAGGCGGGCCTAGACGGCTAGGTCGAGCAGGCGGGTTGCTGAAGCGTGCGTCCTGCACGAGTCGCAAGGAAGTCTCGAGCCATAGCGTGATTCCCCAATACATCTGGAAGAGATCCACAGCGAGAGCGTGATTTCTGAGTGTCGAGTTCCTGTCGTCCGAATGAACTGCAAGGGTATCCCACGCGAGAGCGTGACTTCTGGATTAAATTATGAGGAAGTCCTTCGCGAGAGCGCGATTTGGGAATACATAGTTGGGGAATGTCAGGCGGGGGCCGCTGTTGTTGTAAACAGGGGGCCAGGGGCAGAGTTTGAACAGGAAGAGTTCCCCGGGTAAAAACACAGCGGGCCCTGAGAGGAGCCCTTCATTTAAAAAGCCAGCATGTTACGCGAAAGCGTTAGTTTTGCGCAATTCGCCCGGAAGTTATCGGGCGAGGGCGCGATTCCGAAGCAAATTATATAGAAGTCCCAGGCGAGAGCGCGATTCCTGAATGGCGAGGGCGTGGCGCCTGAATAAACTGCGATTCCTCAGTCAAGTACGACGCAGTATCAGGCAGGAGCCGAGGAGGAATTCTTTCCAGATAGAAAGCGCAGCGCGAGCACACTGAGGGGCACTCAATTCGAACAAAACATACATGTTACGGGAGGGGGTCAGCAGTAGTAATTCTTCATTCGTGAGAGTTGAACAACAACAACAACAACAACAACAACAACAACAACAACAACAACAACAACAACAACAACAACAACAACAACACCATCAATGTCAAGATTGATCGCTGTTCTCCGATCGCGCGCCACTCGTCACGTATAGTCCAAGCCCTCGATTCCCGCCTTCATCGTCTTCGATCGTCCCCCTTTGGGGTATATTTTTCTTTCCTGCAGCGTGTGTTTCGTGCAGTCCCCCAGGCAGGGGAAGAGAAGACAGATGGATGGACGGAATGGACACGGGGTAGGCGGGTTGCTGAAGCGTGCGTCCTGCATGAATCGCGAGGAAGTTTCGATCTCCAAAACAGTCCACAGCGAGAGCATGATTCCTGGGTGTCAAAGGTGCGGCGTCTGAACAAACCCTGAGGAAGTCCCACGCGAGAGCGCAATTCATGCATGCTTTGTGCGGTAGTTCCGCGCGAGAGTGCGAGTCGGGAGTCGGTTTCGAGGAAGTATCCGGCAAACTCCGCTGTTGTCGTAAACCGGGCGCCAGGACTTTAAGGGTAGCTCTTTGGGCGATGTTATAGTATCGGGAGCATAGCTCGCGCGCCGCTGCCTTTGGCTCAAGGCACGCGCGCCCTATTTGCCCGGACACCGCGAGTGTTCGCTATGTGCTGGAAAGACCGATACATCGATCTTATCCTATCTTATCCGTCCATTCTTCTTACTGAACCACGTCAGTACGATACCGGACGCTATTTGCCATCCGATGTCTATGGAATCGGATGCTATTCGAGTTACCAGGCTCACTTTCGACTTGGTAGCGGAGCTGGCCGCACTCTCGTGTGGTCAGCTCTTGCTCTTCTTAGCCTCATACTCTTCGGCACGATCTTCGTGACCACCTACAACCCTGCGCTATCACTCCCAGTACGTTTACGAGGATCTATCCAAGAGCAAGAAGCGACACGAGAGGTACGACGTGTAGACAACGACATTGGTACCATATACGCTTCATCGTTGCGCTACCACCAACCGCTCGGCAACGAGCCAAAAGCGCAATACCTGAAGCATGGGCGGAGAGATCCGCCAGATAGAGCGCCTCGAAGACTCGACAAGGCGCTACCCCAGCGCGGCAACGCGCCTAATAACCACCCCTATCTACACAGCCTCGGGCTGGTTATCTTCGCTATCATATGGCTCGCGCTGGGGGCAGCAATCGGACACATGCGTCGTGGAGAAAACAGCACCGATGGGCAAACACATGGCCCATGTTGGGACCCTCAAGGCAACGTACCTTTCCGCGAGTACGTTTATGAGGTCAACGCATGGCTCAACGTCACAAGCGGACGTATGACGCCGCAGGCCCAAGCGGCCGCCATACAACGCGGCCTGGGTGGCCGAGCGAGGACACTCGCCATGAGGGTACCGCCTGACATCATAAATTATGGTGCTGACATCGATGGGGTCCACACCGACCCAGTGACCTACAGCATGTTCCTCCTAAGCATGAAGTTCGAACGCCTGGAAGATGAGCGCCAGCTCACTTCCGGCACACAACTCATCGACTTCCACGTGCCTCACGGGGAACGAATCGATGTCACCCTTACCCGATTCGAAATGGCCCGACTTGAGGCACAGCCGGTGGGATTTGACTTTCCCAACTTCCAACTACTAACCACGATCCTGTTCCGCGCCCTAGGCGTCGGCAACCAGCGAGCCTTGCAACTCTTACAGTCACTCAATCACCAAATGCCCCGAAAACAACAGTATGATGAGTTACTGGAGAGGATGCGTTCGATGGGTCACCTATCTGAACGGTCTCCTGGCAATATAGGATCTGTGTTTGGAAGGGGAAGGGGATCTGGTAGTGGAAATTTCTACACTACCTTGACCACTGAAGCCCAGCCTGGGAACGGGCCCTCAAGCATATGGGCCGATGATCCTGGAGAATCCACTGCTCTACTAGCAGGAGATCGATCACAACCAAGCTGGGCAGCCAGCCCTCCTTCTAGAGAACCACAACCACACCGTTCCTTATGGGGCGAATCAAACCCCCTAACCGACGGTGTATCCACCTACTTGGGAGACGAGGACTTCGACTCCGGCACCGACACAGATACCATATCATCAGACGGTGTTGAAGCTTTAGATTGGTCAGATATTATGAATATGGATCATGACAATCAGCGTGCTGAACATTTGTTCTGGTTATTACAACAGGCTGCACGGAGGTGGAGGAGGTTCACACGAAAACCAGTGCGTCGTGTTAGGAGGAGGATACGGAGCAGCTTCAAGGGAAAAGGTAAAGGTAAACGAGGTTGTCGGAGGTTGAACGGACGAGGCATCACGGCATTCCTCCAGAGGCTCTCAGATGAACAACATGATGAGATATTCTTCGGGGGAAAGGGCCGCGGCAAGGGCCGTAGAGAGACCTCAGGAAAAGGCAAGGGCAGGCGGGGGAACCCGCGAGGTAGAGACGGCCAGGTTCTTAAGTGCCATGAATGCGACAGTACCGACCATCTTGTGCGAGATTGTCCAGCGAAGGGAAATGGAAAGGGCAGGTCGATCGAAGTCCATTTTGGCTCAAGTGAACCATTCATCGAATATCTGAGCCTCCAAGATTTTGCGGCCATGGAACAGATATTTTACACTTGGGTCAGTTGCATGGACAACGTCGACGAGCTCGAGGCGCATGGTCATGGATTGTACGCGTACTATCTCGAGTACGTCCGCAGGTTCGTTGAGGGCAACAACGAGCTCACTCCCGTGGAACACGGAACGCTGGGAAACCAGCCTTTATCTTACATCATGGCCTACGAAAGCGGTGACGAGGACATCACTGTGGAGGCCTCGCCTTCCGAGGTTGAACGCAACCTCCAACCTCCTCCTGAACTCCCGCTTGGAAACAGGCCTATCTATCCTCGAACTAATGATGACCTTCTCGAAATGGAGTCTCAAGCATTCGTTCAAGCTTTCATTGCAGGCGCACCAGAGGTCCCATTTGTACCCCCTGGTTCACTTGTTCCAGGTGAGTACGGACCACGCACACTACTGCAAACCCTCATGAGGATGCACGAGGTATTGATCATCGCATACCCCGAGAGTCAAGAAAGCATCGAAGCTGGCATCATGTACATGCATGACACTGATGCCTGTGACGACTCGGAGTTCGCGTTGGCAGCTCTGACCCTTATCGACAGCGTGCACCCCGAGGATGTGCAGAGGCATGTGTTATACTCCCGAGGGAGATGGCGCGATGCCCTTGAAAGGGCCATCGCCATGCGCGGCCGGGCTCTTCCTCCGCCAGGATGGGGTCTCCAGGCGGTGGGACTATGGCCAAATAATACGGCCATGCGCAACATTGCCGGGCAGCCTGTGCTCGGCAACGAGCCTGAGCCGACAACCGTGCCGCCTACCCCGGGACAGCCGAGCGACGCACAGGCGCCGGCTATGCAGGGAAACCTGCCTGTCCCGGCTGTGCCAATGGCCATCATTATTGGCAGTTCTACATCAGAAGAAGAAGAGGGCGATGGTTGCGGGCTATGCGAGGACGAAGTCACAATCCTCATGATGGAAGTCAATGGAGAGGTAGAGG